AAGGATGACTCGAGTGAATAGCTTGTAGATTACAGACAGCAGGCAGATTGGGCGATAGTTGCCAATGTCGTCCAAGTCTCCCTTCTTGTACAGCAACACGGTTCTGCTGGTTTTCCACGGAGTGTGTACTCAGATAATGCTAGGGCATCAAGACAGGAGTGCTGCGGCCGAAATTCAAACTCCGGCGCTTGGCAGCATATGCTGCAACCCCGCCCCAGAACTGTGATTGGTCTATTTGGGGTGGGGGCGGGACGAGGGCGGGTCGTCGGACATCTGCCTCGGACCTGCTGGGCTCCGTGAGAGCAGTAGCTACTGACCTCTCCTGCAGCTGGAAGCGTCAACCAATAGGAGACGAGCCGCTCATCTCCAATTGGTTGGCTCCACCCTCCTGCCGTAGTGAGGTTGGCGGCACTACTGACAATTGTACGGAAGTCTGTCGTACTGCTGATAATCGTGCCGGGACCAATGAGGGTCCCTCCGCGATTTCTACCGCGGGACACTCGATTGGCGGGAACAATTAATTTGCTGTGACGTCACAGCTTTCGCAAGTACTGCCGTGCGCTGCCTTAACTGCTGCCTTGGTACTCTCGTCCCCATCACTGCCAGATGCCGCTGCCCGGCTGTCCTGCCAAAGAATGGTTAGCAGGAAATACGGCCAGAGGCTGTAGTGGCAGTGCCCCACAGCGGGCAATGGCTGGGTCCCGGAACGAATGCTACAGTATGCAGCATTTCGAAATGCACGTGACAGCCGGTATTGATCGCAGTCGGCTGAGCGCAGGGGCGCTTCTTCGTCACTCCCCCCCTCCTTCATGGTTTTTTTGTTTTTATTTTTATCATTGATGATTTTGCTGATTTCGGGTACTCTCATCCATCCCCCACAGTTCGATGATTCGATGATTTTGCTGATTTCGGGTACTCTCATCCATCCCCCAGAGTTTGATGATTTGATGATTTTGCTGATTTCGGGTACTCTCATCCATCCCCCACAACTCTACGATTCGATGATTTTGCTGATTTCGGGTACTCTCATCCATCCCCCACAACTCTACGATTCGATGATTTTGCTGATTTCGGGTACTCTCATCCATCCCCCAGAGTTTGATGATTCGATGATTTTGCTGATTTCGGGTACTCTCATCCATCCCCCAGAGTTTGATGATTTGATGATTTTGCTGATTTCGGGTACTCTCATCCATCCCCCACTACTCTACGATTCGATGATTTTGCTGATTTCGGGTACTCTCATCCATCCCCCAGAGTTTGATGATTTGATGATTTTGCTGATTTCGGGTACTCTCATCCATCCCCCAGACGATTTGATGATTTTGCTGATTTCGGGTACTCTCATCCATCCCCCACTACTCTACGATTCGATGATTTTGCTGATTTCGGGTACTCTCATCCATCCCCCACAACTCTACGATTCGATGATTTTGCTGATTTCGGGTACTCTCATCCATCCCCCAGAGTTTGATGATTTGATGATTTTGCTGACTTCGGGTACTCTCTTTCATCCCCGCAGTTTGATGATTTGATGATTTTGCGATTTATGGATAATAGATACCAATATTCATTCTGACTTCTATGAACTAATATTCATTCTGGCTTCCACAGGAGGATTGTCAAACGTTCAACGTGAGTTTTTTCCAACAAGTTTTTAGTTTTATAGAACACTGAGAAATCTCGTATGCTATTGCAGTAGCGTAATAGATTGCACAAGAGATCTCTCTTAATAAGAGATTTCTCTATATGCTGTATGCAGGGCAATTAATCGGATTTGCTATGGATTTAATTTCCAACCACCGTGAAATTGAATGCTGCATTGTCGAACTCGTTACTGGGCTGGCTGTCTCCCCATTTTTAACGTTCGCAACCTGAGATGAGCAGATGTTCTAGGAAGTATTTGAACCCCGTGAAAAGTTGGCCACACACCTCGGGACTCTTTCCACTCTGCTTAGCTTGAGAAAATCCTCATTTACTTGATATGACTCGTAACTTTGTTCCACTCCTAAATACATTATTTTTTTAAGGCTGAGGCATGGTCAAGGGGGAGGCTTTCAATTTGAGTGCGTGATCTCGTTTTCATGCATTGAAAAATACGAAACTGTAGTCATGAACACTGTATTAGAAAGAATGAGCGCCTGTAAGGGTGGCATACCAGCGTCCCCAAAGGACTGAGTTCAAGTATGTAGAACCCAAAATTAACGTACGCTTACACCATGTTTGCAGCAGCACGGCAGCAGTTCGGCAATGCTAGCACGGGGTGTGCGGCAGGCAGTAGTGCTGCCATGAGAAGGTCACATCGAAATTAATTCTAAGTCCGGAAATGCTTTCAGTGTTTCAAGGTTTCTTGTCTAAACTGACGTTTGCACACTGCTATATCTGTCTCATTCATTCATAATCGATGTCTATTCCAACTCTTGTACACTTACGATTGCTGTTGAGTTGGTGCTTTGATCGTTGCTTGCCCTATGAACAGAAGATAATGAAGAGTCTTCGTTGAACCATGACATCGATCATGCCCCTCACTTCGTCTTGAATAGCCTTCACTTCTTCTTCATCTTCGGCTCGTAAAGGATGATGGGGAAGCTGTCATTCCACGACGAATTTTTCATTTTTGGGGAATAGATTGTAACACAGAATGTCGGGTCCTGTGGTGGATATAGTGATAAGGAACGACAAGGCGGCTGCCCTCGAAGCGCTTCGGAATCTGTGGAGCTACCGACTGTTGGAGGTAGATGTCAGATTATTATTCCGCCTCGTAGTAAAGTTTAATACGTCAAGCAATTGTAGACGTTACATCTCGAAAGCTGCGATCTTACCGATCAAGACCTCGAATGCATCCATCCAGGCACCACTTGCGTCAGATATGTTTGCCTTCGTAATAACCAGCTGGTTCACCCTTGGCCGACCCTAGCGAAAATGTTCCCAGCTCTCGATTGCCTGGACTGCAGAGAGAACAGGTGCCCCTCTTGATGTTATTGTAACTTTTATCTCTTCTGCCTTAGCGGTCCTCTTCAGGTTGTTGACAATGGATCTGAATGCCATGAAAACATCACGGTTTGCTTGTATGGAGCACTTATTTTTGAGCCGGCCTGTGTCACTGTACGCATTTTGGAGACTATCACATTGAAATTGTTTACCTGAATCCAACAACAAATCCTTGTTCAGGTGTGCGGCCGAGGTTCAGGAAGTATTCCCGAGACTCACTAATATTTACTATTCTTCTCCTAACTTTCCCTTCATAACCGCTAACTCTGAGGGGAAGTGGGGATCGAGTCCGTCTGTTTTCCACAGCAACTCTCCCAGAAAATGGCTTCGCACGATTGCCTAGCTTGTGTTTGGATAAATAAACATTTTTCAACTTCTGATTCGTTGCTGTATGGGTTTCGTGACCGCAATTACTCCATAGTCCAACTGTGATGTCAGTGACGTCTGTTAAAGAAATCACGATTGACTAGCTAGGTTAGGTATAGGTGTTTTTTATGGGCCGAAAGCGAACCTTTGACTCCGCTTCTTGTTCACGTGACGTCGACGAAGAGCTATCGCAGCCGTCAGTGAAGATGCCGAGACCGTTAAGAAGAAGTCAATCATTGAGAGCGAGGGGTGGTGAGCCTGTTATCATCTCCCGTAGAATCACTTGTCTAGCTGTGATCAATACTGACCTGATCCATAACGTCGATATTCAGCAGGAGTGGTGGAATTAGCCTATCAGCTCGCTGAGCTCAATGCTGAACAAGCTCCGGATCAGGATACGGAAGTCGGCGAAGATCCTATGGTGGTTGAATTAGAGAGACCCGGGGCTGAACACCCAGAAGAAGTTGAAGAAGCTGCTGACGAAGTCCAAGAAGAAATATGTGGTCGATGTCCAGGGCGAGGCAAGGATTCCTAATCCGCATCCGAGTGAGTGAAACACTTTTGCTGTGTACGTCAGCCTGTTATCATGGTATTTCTTAAAAGTATTAATGTTTTCAGCGTTCCAACAGCAGGTTATCTATGGTGCCGCTTTTAAAGTTGCATTTCGGGGTAAGCGAAAAAATGGCAAGTTTTTTGGACGATTATTTGGCTTTGCTTGGTGCACCAGTTCCTGAGCCGGTCAGTCAACTTTCTTTTTGTTGCTTTCAGGGTTTTAGAACGAAGTGTGATTAAACACATTGACGACAACATGTCATACGAATAGTTATCGTTTAGTCGATTTACTTAGTCTCGTAGGTTGTTAGGAGGTTCCAACACTGGGTCTACTAATTGCTATTAACGAACTCTTGAATAAGTAGTGCTAATTTCTTAAGAATCGGTTCATTATATGAAACCAGAATTTCGGTGTGTCAGTTTCTTGTGTCTCACGTCTTGTCCATCCATGGTGGGGAGGCCAGAAGAGGGGAACGGGGAAAGGGAATGGGCATGAGGGGAGAAAGAGAGAGGGGGTTCACTGCTTTCAAGATTACGGTTCGATCTTGTGTCGAGGTAGTATTGCAACGTGATAGCACCGCAACGCTGTATGAGCATTTATAGACTCAACACTGTTTCCCAGCTGCAGCGGCAGCTGGGGAACAGTGTTGAGAGAGAAGGAGGATGATGTGAGGAGGAGGGAGGCCAAGTCTGCAGAGGGGGAAGCGAGGGTGTGTCGATCCGGGGTACTGGTCAAGAAATGCCGGGGAACACTAACAAATGGTTGTCGTCAATGTGTTTATCCGATCGGATTTCCGTTTTATTTTCATTTTCATGAATTGCGTTTTTTGATAGATTTTTTTGTTTGACTTTTCGCCTTTTTTTGTTGCTCATTCTGTTGCACTAACATTAAATAGATCAACGCAAACAAAAAAAAACAATATGAATACAACACACTCTCAACAGTGATAAAAATAATGCTTTAGTGTAACCCGTTGGAGCATTGGCGCCTTAGCGATACTGCAGTCTAATCGCTTTTATGGTCTTTGAGAGGCTTCCCAAGTGAGAAATCTAGGAGTCGAAAACATTGCTCAACAGGAACTTGATTCCTCATCAAGTGCGATCCCTAATGCATTTTTTTGGCAGCGGGAGAACAGTTGGAAGGAGCTTCATTTCGGGAGCAGGAAAAGATCAACGCTTTTTCTACGGAGCAGGAGAACACCCAGTTTTTGCGGAAAAAGCATAGTCGCTAACGCACCAATGCTTCCTATCGGAAGTGCCTCATAATATTTTGCCTTAATTCTTGACTCACGATCTCGTATGAATTGGTATGTACTCTTATGACGTGTACTGGTTCAATCTCGAAGCTGATCCTTTTTATGTTGCGCTATGTATCTATGCATTACCTCACCTCTGCGTTAGAGCAAGATGACAGATTAAAGGAATGGTTAAAATGTTCGAATTCTACGGACGGTATATACCGCGAATTTACATTCGCCAGTTTGTAAGCAATGCCAAATGATAGTCCAAAGATTCAGTTAGGTAATATGAGTGGATCAAAATCCCCTGTGTACAGTCCAATCGCTGATGAATTGAGTGGAGCGATCGCTGGGGCATATAGCACATCTGCCGACGGTGAATCAGTGAATGGTATGTCGTAAGCAGAGCAAGTTGTACATAGAAGTGCCGGAAACTCTTACCATCCAATTTTTCCAGACTACCGTATGGATGAATGCGAGAACGTCCTCGAAGATTTGTCTAGTCCAAGTACCATGTCGAATACAGTTTCGGTGAATTCCCTCACAGGATGCTCGGCAACTCCTCCAATAGCTCCATCTCCTGCTTTATCTCAACTGTCTACAGGATCCCAAGAACTCCAAAATTGTGGAACAACTGGATTGATTACACCGCAAGGTCGTCATTTTATAGAGATTATCACAATTGATGTTGCTGAGCCGCCATTTGGTTTTGCAGACAGTGAGAACATTCATATCGTCGAGGAAGCCTCCCACTACCAGGGAACGCAGGGCGCGTTACGAGATCGAACACGAGGTCGCCCATCCTTGACGCAAGGTTTTACATAGCCCACGTTGACTGGGGGAATGTTTCGAAGCGAATTATTTGCACATTGCAGCGGTTATGCGCACACTAACTCAATCGAGTGAGGTCTCGCTGGAACAACTAGGGGAAGCATTGTCACACTTCGACACCGGTCCAGATTACAATGTCTGTTTCTTTCGTATCAATAAATGGCCCTACAAATACGCTCACTTCACGAGCTTCAGGAATTTGTCTCACATGCGGCGAGGGAGTGTCGCGTCAACGTTGGGGAAGCCAAATTGCTACAAATGGCCGTTGCGGATATACCACAGTCATCTGATTCCGTCGTTCGTTCTCTCGCGGCCGTACTTGCTAGACAGGCAGATGCAATTGTAGGAATAGCAGCAATAGTTAGTTATCCTGTTACCGACATTCAGTAACTCAGAAAATCCTTCCTTGGTCCTTATCTTGTCCCATATTGCAGATTGACTCCTTGTTGGTCTACACAAAACAGTTACATGATCGCTGTTTGAGCTTAGAGACCGTCACTTCGAGAAATACCCAGCCAAAGTTGCCGGCGGGGACTTCCCTGCACGCGAAGAACTTGACTAAGCAGTGGGTAGTGCGCGAGTCGTACCCATTTAAGGTATATTTGCATATTTGTAGAGTAGTTTTTGTGCTGCATACTATAAAATAGTAGTGTCCTCATTTCATACAACAAATTTGAAATGTCTTGATGGAGAATTCGCGACGCACGTACCGAGGGCGTCCAGAAGACCACGCAACACAGTGTATTGATTTCTTCAGGCAGTACCTACTACAGATGAGTACTATAATCGCTCAACATTGCAACAGCATTCTACCATTGCCACAACGTATAGTACCCCTACTGTTTTAGGCGTGCAATCCCGCACACGTTATTCAAGAATATACGTACCGAAAGTCTGGTAAATATCAACAAGAAGACCCAATCTCAAAGATCTCCCAACGGATGTAGCTGATTCATTGATAGGTCGGTTTCACTGAAATAAATGGAAAAATAGCATTGCCCAAAGCCTATCTTTCTTGCCAGGATGTTGTCTTGATGCCTTAAATTTATATGCCCCAGAAATGGATGTCGACGTAGAACACCTGGGTGAAAATCCTACTAGGTAAGCGGAATGTGTGCTGGAAATTGCCTTTATAACCCACATGTTTTAAGTTTCTGGCTCGCTCTTGGGAACAATGATGCGGCAAGAGCTAGAGAGCTCCAGACACGAAGGAACATGCGCATGTGTTGGGGACCTATTCTACGAGACTCACTCGCGCGAGCTATGTAGGTGTTAAACCATTCCGGCAAGCCAAAACCATTTACTGATTCCCAATTGTTTAGGGCCGACATCAGACAATACGTACTCAAACACGATCGCCTCGTGCCCCGCCCTGTAAGCCTTTGTTTCACCGTTTGCCAAATAGATCTTCATGCAAAAAAAATTAAATATTTTAGAAGAGGCCGCCTGTTGATTCCTCTCAACTTGAGCGAACACAAGCATCAAGTGACTGAATACGGTATAGGGCTTGGAGTCCTGCATACAACTAACGATTTTTAGCTCATTCATATCGCATATTAATCACTCAGCATGTATTCGCGCCATCTCACTTATTTTGATTATCGGTTCTCACGTCTTAGAAGTAAAGACACATGTTTCGCTGGTCCGTTTTTCTGGATTAAACAGTTCCTCTTCTCCGAATCGCTGGACTAGCTTTGAGCCGCGTTTTCACATATAGATTTTGAACGCACGTCCCGTTGCCACTCGATTTCTCTTTGCGCAATTCCACCGTCTTCTGGCTGCATCCATTTCGTGATATCCCTCAAAACTGGCACTGCACAGGAGCACGGATCACTCCCCGAAATAGTAGTTTATAGTGCTTAGACTTCACTAACAAATTCACCATGCGTCACCGGATTTTTCCTCGTTATGAAGCATATCTTTCCTTTGGCTACTGGGAACAAGTGCGCTGGATACAGTTGTTTTCGGAACACGGATTCATAGTGCAAACATACTGGATGCACTTCAAGGCTATCTATCTAGAACTTCACGGTGCTCCCTATTTCGACTGGTTTTGTTCCCAGACACTTTTATGGTCGACAGTGAAGCCTTAGAAACATCACCCTCAGTGAAAAGAGAGGAAACTGGCTCGTGTTTCAATATGGAAACTGGAAGATAACTTGGGAAGATAACTTGGGCTTGAGTATCAACAACAATAGTTGCTCTTGATTCGACTACTTTTCCAAATGAAAAACGGACCATGCGATGATTACCTGTATTTCGAAAATTTAACATGCTTCACACATACATACAATGTTTTAAAATTTGATCTCTTCTTCACTAACAATACTCATCGATCTATTGATGTGATGTATTATGTTTGCTTTGTATGTTGCGATGTTTTTGTTGTAAGTACCCGATATATGCCCAAAAATTTGCTCTGGAAACCGGTAGGTATAAGCATGTACATGCAAGCTGGTCCACTCCTCCCACACCCTCGAATTTCTCACAGTTACTCAGGAAAAAACACTTAGTTTGTCCGAGCAATCTAAGTGTAGATGGCGAACGCCTTCTGCGGAAACTTTTGGACGGAGTGACGAACGTTTCTGAAACTTTCTGAACCGAGCTCGGATTTGTGCTCAACACCCCAGATTTTCCTATGGGAGAAGTTTCTTTGGCTGAAACTCGAGCGAAATTCGAAATGTTCTGAATTCGGTCTTTTCGGCAAAACCGAGCCCAGATTCGTGCTCAGCACCCCAGATTTCCCTATGGTAGAAGTTTCTATGGCTGAAACTTGAACAAAACCAACTTCTTATTTGAAATACGCAATATTTGAAACTTTCGTGCAAAACCGAGTTCACCACTGTGATCAGCACCCTTGAAAACCCCCCTAGCCAAGTTTCCAGAGAAAATTAATTTTTGGACCTAAATCGGGTATGATCAGATGCTCGAAGATTTGTTTCCTTTGGTGCCATTAGGATAAACGTGCATGTTTTACCGTTGTTTGGCAGTAGTTGGCTTACAGTAGTTTGGCAGTAGTTGTTTTACCGTAGTTTGGCAGTAGTACTGCGGATTCTGGAGGGGCCTAAGGGGGGCCTGGATATGCAGTATTATGGCAGTAGTTGGGCCTCGCT